CGTACACACACACGCACACACACACACGCATGTTAAGAACCATTGCCTTAAGAAAGTCCTTTGACAAAGACTTGTCAACTGACAGCGAACATTGATTTACTAAGACAAGGCTGAGGAATTTTCAAACATGCTATTTAGAAAGTATGGGTAATAGAAGTTACAGTAACACCACTCCAAACCAGAGAGATGGGGCTCTGAGTTCAAGACATGGGTTGGCTGCAAACTATGGAGCTGTAAACCTGAGACTCATGCAAACCAGAATAGGAGCAAGCTTTGACATCATCTATTCCACCTACCTTCCTCCACCTCGAAAATGAAGAACCGAAGCTCAAAGGGAGCCTATGCATTGACTGACATCAGAGCAAATAAATAAGAGGCAGGATTCGAACCTCAGACTCCATAAAATAATTTTTTCTCTGAATCTCTCTCCCATGAGGTTTAAGATAACTGCTTAGATTTAACTTCCCATTCATCTGACAGATAAATCCTACTGTCTTCTCCGTCCCTGGAAGTCCCATGAAAATATGAGTTGGATCTTGGCAAAGACTGTACTAGCTGCTTCTGAGTCCCACAAGAACAAGGCAGAGAAGGGTCTGAAGAGTGAGCAGTTGCTGTCAGTCTTGCATAGCTGCGGCAGTAGGGAACTGCAGGCCTGAAACTCATGTTCATTGTGCTGGCAATTACTCTCCTGTCCTCCTGCTTGTTAATTCCTCATCTGTCTCCTCTTCATTAATGTTCCCAACTACAGGGAAAACAGCAAGCTAAGTTCATGGTCAGCTTCCTACAATTCACTGGATCACAAAAGGGCAAGAGGCAGGTGGAGAAGACAGTAGTGAAGACAGGGTCAAATAACCTCTCAGGAAGGGCTGCACGGGAATCCAGTGCCTCCTGATAAACACAGAAAGCAGAGGCCCGCTGGAACCTGTGTGCCACTACCTCACGGAACTAAAGACGATGCCTGGAATCCACCTAAGTGCTAAGGACATCTCACGGCCTTGCGTTGACATAGACATTGGATTTTCCTCAAAGACAATGGACTTTTAAATATTGGGAAGAGAATGGACAATTTACACAAAGATACTTCTCTATTAAAACAATGATAAAAGATAGAATTTTAGTCTACTAACACCTATACAAAATAGACTCTCTCCCTTCCCCAAAATATCCATCTCCAAAATGAGGAGCCCTGGCTAAACTGATTCTTGAAGTCTCTGGCTTTCATACTCTGATCTTTCTTCCCACTTCCAATGATCCACCCTGAAAAAGGAACAGAAGAAGAATCTACCTCTTAATACTGTTAATAGTCAGGGGGCTCACACTGTGGCAAAAAGGGTTAAGCCACTGCCTGCAACACCAGCATCCCACACGGGCACCAGTTCCTGTCCTGGCTGCTTTGCTCCCAATGCAGTTCCCTATTAACAGCCCAGGGAAAGCAGTGGAAAATGGCCCAAGTATTTGTGCCCCTGCCACCCATGCAGGAGACCAGGATCAAACTCTTGGCTTCTGGCTTCGAACTGGCCCAGCCCTGGCTATTGTGGCCATTTGGAGAATGAACTAGTGAATGGAAGATCTCTCTGTCTGTCTCTCTCGCTCACTCTCTCTTGTAACTCTGCCTTTCCAACAAATAAAAATAATTTTGTAAAAAATAGTGTTGGCCGGCGCCGCGGCTCACTAGGCTAATCCTCCGCCTAGCGGCGCCGGCACACCGGGTTCTAGTCCCGGTTGGGGCGCCGGATTCTGTCCCAGTTGCCCCTCTTCCAGGCCAGCTCTCTGCTCTGGCCAGGGAGTGCAGTGGAGGATGGCCCAGGTGCTTGGGCCCTGCACTCCATGGGAGACCAGGAAAAGCACCTGGCTCCTGGCTCCTGCCATCGGATCAGCGCGGTGCGCCGGCCGCAGTGCGCCGGCCGCGGCGGCCATTGGAGGGTGAACCAACAGCAAAGGAAGACCTTTCTCTCTGTCTCTCTCTCTCTCTCACTGTCCACTCTGCCTGTCAAAAAAATAAATAAATAAATAAATAAAATTAAAAAAAATTAGTGTTAATAGTGGATATGTTTACCAGATCCTCTAACAAGATGCCCCAATAATGGAACAATATGGATGGAGGAAGATGGATTTATTTTTCTACTCTAACCATAAATTACATGCCTTTGGAGTTATGACAACCAATGTATAAATGCCCAATCATAGTGTACAGATCATTCAAATCACTTGCTGCTCTTCTGAAATGTAAAAGTAGTAAAAGCTAAACAGCAGAATAATTATTTCCACACACAAACTCAAGAGTAGCCATGGGACTTTCTTATGATTTTAGAAACATGAGAGCAGGATGGAGAAAATAAAATCAGATATTTTTTAAAAAATCCATTGAACTAAATCCATGTCCATGATCAATGGACAGCTTTGCTGCTATATGCTAACCGGGATCTCAGTGAGAGAAGGCAGGTGACTTAGTCAGGGTGACAGCCAGTTCACATCAGAGCTGGAATTATATGGCTTCTGAAATTATATGGCTTCTGGAATTATATGGAATTATCATGGCTTCTGGCTCAAAGAACATATACCACATTGCTCTGCTTCTACGAACCAGGAGATTCTATCCAGGTAAGTAGGAAAATAATTTCCTTTTTAACTATGGCTCTATCTCCACTTCAAAAAACAATAGCTCTCTGCTATGGCCTGGGAAAGCAAAGGAAGATGGCCCAAGTCCTTGGGCCCCTGCTCCCATGTGGGAGACCCCGAAGAAGCTCCTGGCTCCTGGCTTCGAATCACTGCAGTTCCGGCCATTGCAGCCATCTGGGGAGTGAACCAGCGGATGGAAAACCTCTCTCTCTCTCTGTCTCTACCTCTCTCTGTAACTCTGTCTTTCAAATAAATAAATAAATCTTTCAAAAAAACCAATAATGATTAATTTAGTTTAAGGTAGACTGGGGTTGTTTCCACCAAATTAGAATGAACAATTCATTCTGGCAATATAGACAAGTCCTTGAGAATTAATGGAGTATTCATCCCCTAATGAATCACCCTGTGGAAAACATGGATAATCAACAGTCTACAGAGGCCAGAAGCCTGTTCTTGTTCCAGTACAGATCTTGCCTATTAAAGAACATTAGGTATCAGCTCTAAATAGTAAACAGAGTATACCATTTCAGATTCCATGAAGTGCAGCTTTAAATAGCTTTGGTTTGGAAATGGGACAGGGAACACACCACAGTCAGTGGAGCCACGTTGAAAGCAGAGGAAAAACAATGATTAAGCTCATTAAGTGGGTACCTGTTGACACGTCTACTGCCAGGTCTAATTATTTATTTAAACTGTTATTCCTTCTTCGTCACTACCACTGATTCCAATTAATACAAGACAATTTTAAATGGCCACAGCACACCCCTAGAATATTTATTTTGCCACCTCCCCAAGGCAATTTGAGAAGGTGCTATCCTTCCCTTCCCGCCAGCTCCTAGCCCTAAATGATAGAGACAAGGCATGGACAGATAAAACTTCTCTTCACAAGAGCAACTTTTGTTATCTTTTAACTCTTACTTAAAACCCCTCTTTATAGTTTCAGGATGGGTTTTAGTTGGGAAGGGGGACATAGCTAGCCCCATCTTGAAGCTTTTTCTATTAATATTTAACAACTGGCATCTGGGGGAGGGTGAGTATGATTAACTGCCATTTTCTAAATGAGCAACATGGTGCTGTGCATCACACAGTTGTCAAAAAAAGACAGGAAAGGTTTACAAGACATTCATTTCTGATACTTGCATTTCTCATGAAAATAATACACTAGACAGGAGCCTTTTGCATGGTCATTTTGTGAACTAGAGGGTTACTAAAAGACAGGCAGGAACCATGCTTTTATTTTTTGTTCTGACTTTTTCTAGGAACCTGAGCATGATGTGTTAATTCATACAAATGATGAGTATTAGCTTTGAAAACTATACTAGCCTAATACCCCAATTTCCACTCTGCCCAGATTGGTTAAGTCCTCCGAATATGTAGCAATACCAATCAACTGCAATGTTTTTCAAAAGTCTGTGCAACTACGGTGATGTTTGCACTTCAGCATTACAGAAATAACACCAAAAGCATAAAATATTCAATCAAACAAATGTTTACAGTACTTTAAATAACATCAAATCTTATACAAAGTGATGATCCTACAGGACCTGCTGTTAGGAACACCATTGAACTTCTTTTCCTCTTTTTGACTGGGCCTTCTAAAGATTTCTTAGAACACAGAAGAGCTCACCAGGAGATGCAGATATCATCAGGTTAGCTCCAAAACAAATCACATTTTGCAAATTTTACAACTATGAAGCTCCCTTTTAATAAAATGTTTCTTTTCACTGCCTTCTGTTTTCTTGGCAAAGTCATGATGAATACGTTCTTCAGATAAGAGCTTATCGCCTCCACATCAGGCCCCAGGAGAGTGGAGTAAAGACACAATTGGTCCTAGGTTTCAAAAGCTTCTAACTTCTTCTGTGCACTTAGGGATTTTTTTCTTATTGTTGTTGCCGACTTGGATTATAAATTTGGTGATGATGAGTTTGGTAGTGATTAACCCTACCAGAAATCTTCAGCCCCTTCAGAGCAGGGTAACACTGGTACTATAGTATCATTAAAAGCACTCAATCAAGGGTCAAGTAATCCGGTGAAAAGCCCTCTGGCACATACTAGTCAACGATACAATAAAATAGGCAAGAACACAGTAGTCCACAGCATATCACAGTTTAATCATATCACAGTTTAATCACTTGGTAAATCTGAGTCTTCTATGTTGCCCAGATACTTGATACTAAACCTTAAGAGCTAGGAACTAAACGGGAAAAATAAATCAAGAGGCCATAAGAGGAGGGAAACTCACATTCTGGCCATTTTACGGGTTCTGTTGTTCATGAAGCACCTTTGTATTTCTTCTATTATGAGTGAAATCAACCATAACCATTACTGACTCCAGTGCCTACTGGCATTCCACAAACGTACAGATGCCAGTCGTCTCTTACCTCAGATGGCTGGCTCTTACAGGATCAGTGCACACACAACTGCAGCGCTAGTGTCTGTAAATGAAATGGGTGAAAGTTAGTGTTGGGCACTAATTCTATATTCATTAACAACCAGAACTTCATTATCTCTATAGCAGCTTCTTGTTTTAGAAAACATCCTCATTTCCATTATTTTTACTCCATCAAAACCCTAAGGGGAAGCAGGAAGAGATGATTCTACTCACTTCATAGGTGATGGAACCAGAAGCTCTCCCAGGGAAAGGAAGGAAGCAGCTGACCTCTCTCATCACTACCATGTGAGAGGGGTATGGTTGCCCTCACTTTACAAATGCAGAAGCTGAGGTTTAGGAAAGGTAAGTGGGGACAAGCACTTGGCACAGCACCTAAGGCACCAGCTGGGAAACCCACATCTCTTTTCAAAATGTCTGGGTCCTACTGTTGGTTCTGCTTCTGATTTCAACTTCCTGCTCGAGCCTAGGAGGCATCAGGTGATGGCCCAAGCACTTGGTTCCCTGCTACCCACATGGGAGACCCAGAATGAGTTCCTGGCTCCTAGCTTCAACCTGGTCCAGCTCCAGTTGTGGCGAGCATTTGGGGAATGAACCAGTAAATAGGAAGATCAATATCTCTTGGTCTCCCTTTGTCTTTCAGATATATAAAAATTTAAAAAAAAAAGGGGGGGGGAAGGCAAGCAACATCTCCAAGACTGCACAGTATAGTATGCGGCGGAGTGTATGACTGGGACCCAGGGCTCTGCATGCTAGCCCAGGGCTCTTTCATTTCTAACTTAGATTCTCCTAAATTATTAAACTGGACAAACACAAGGTCACACAACTCACTGACTTGGGCCACAAGGCTTGTGGAAGGGCAAGAATCAAGTAGAACCAGCTATTTGATGACATGAGGAAGTGGGAAAGCCACATGGGGTGCAGAGCCAGACACAATTACCCAACTTTTATCAATGAATTTAAGTGACTGAACTCTAGGGGGCAATTTCCTCATATGTAAATGAGGATTATAGTGTCTACTTTTGCTCTGGAAGATTTTATGCCATAGTGTGTGCCTGCAGTGGTATAGAATATTCTAACATTTCTTCCTGAGATCCCATCCTTATACGAACACAGAATAATGTTATGCACATACAATGCTAAAGATTATCTCTGGGGGCCAACGCTGTGGCATAGTAGGTAAAGCCACCGCCTGCAGTGCCAGCATTCCATGTGGGTGCCGGTTTGAGTCCAGGATGCTCCACTTTTGCTCCAGCTCTCTGCTATGGTCTGGGAAACCACCAGAAGATGGCCCAAGTCCTTGGGCCCCTGTACCCACGTGGGAGACTCAGAAGCTCCTGGCTCCTGATTTTGGATCAGCACAGCTCCAGCCACTGCAGCCACTGGAGAATAAACCAGCAGATGGAAGACCTCTCTCCCTCTCCCCACTCCTCCTCCTTTCCCCTCTCTCCCCCTCCCCCTCCCTCTCTCTGTGCCTCTCATTTTCTCTCTGTATAACTATGGCTTTCAAATAAATAAATAAATCTTTTTTTATAAAAAAAAAAAAAGAGTATCTCTGGGCTGGGTATTTTTTTCATTCATATTCTCTGGTTTTAAAAGACCATAATATTTACCTAGGTCACTCTCACACAACTGATCTAAAAACCAACACAATCAAGAACTTTTCATTAGAAGAGACAGGGTGTCAACATTTTAAAATCCCAAGCCCCCACCCCCAAAAGAGTCACTGCTTTAGCTGGAAGATCTGCTGATGCATCACAAATTGAAAGTCTGGGCCTATAATCAGAGAGGTTCAGAAGAGAGATGGAGCTTCCAACCGGACTGTATAAGTAAAGGGAACGTGTTTTAATAGAATGGACAGATTTATTGAGAAAGGCAAGGCCCCTGGAAAGTTTCGATGAAATATCCTGTTTTCATAAAGGACTCAAATCAAATTAAGAAAAGAACATGGCTGACAAGACGCCCTGCAAGAAGCTCATTATCTGCCACCAAAAATCAAAACATTAACCTTACTTTAATGTTATTCTTTGTTTTACGGCTTAGAAATATGACATTAGAACTCAAATCACTCACATGGCAACTCCAATGAGACCCTAGGATACTGACTTTATAAGTGTAGAAATCAAACTTCAAAGATCACATACTTAATAATGAGCAGATATCTGGATACTAAAACCAGGAAGCACCATCGCAGTCCCATGCTGCAGCTTCCTAGTTGGAGCCTGCCATTTAAAGAGAGTAACTGAACATCAGGAAGGGAACACAGAGTGTATAATATAAAATTCAATTACGAAAGCACATTTATGTTGACTTCAGTCACAAGTGAAAGGCGAGAGAAAAGACTTCACCATCTGTGGTCTAACCAGAAGGTGACACATTACTAGGCTGAGGCAGAAGACGTGTTCAAGGCAGGGTTACCATGAGCACCTGCTGAGGTCTCCCCAGTGAAGTTTCAGAGATGCAGTTCTTCCAGCAAAGTGTTGAAACATAAGCCACAGAAAGAACTAGAATCTGCACCGGTGAGATGTTGCGCTGGGTCCTTCATCACTAAGTCCCTCCTTAAGTTTTCTAGCTATAAAGGTCCCCAGTCCTCTTCCCAGGATTTGCTTATCACGTGTCCTCAAAAGCTCCTGTGTATTTCATAATGCAATGTAGTTGCCATCAATGCACAAAGACATCTGGGGCAACTGACAAATCCCACACTAGCCGCTTGGTACTGAACCCAGTTGTTCTTGGCTGTCTCTGTGTATTTCACGACTGTGGACCCAGAATCTGGCATGTCTACATACTTTTGTCAAACCATTCATCCTCTCCCAAGAAAAAGGTTCTCACCTCCAGAAGCAATTTCAGCTGAAATTATATAAATCCGTATAAATCAACCTCAAACTTACAAAACTTCAAGTTATTATTAACCATGCAAAGCTAGACCTACCAAACCTAGATGATATTGTGATAGGGCTATTAATAATTTCTACTGTAATTTGGGAAAAGAAAAACAAATTAAAGGAAGCTGAGAAAAAATGGAGAAGCAAGAAAAATGACAGGGATTAGGAAATAGTAAAAAGAAATGGAAGGACATGGGAAATAAGAGCAGGGAAAGGGGTCTGTTCAATGGAGTTTTCACAAGCCATTTTATCCTCTGAACCCACTAAAACACCACAAGACAAATCTGAAGCAGGATGCTGATCCTAACATTATGAACAAAAATTATAACAAATTATGACAAAGAAGCATTAGACAAGCCTAAAAATACCTAATACTTCATATTTTGTTAGTGTCATAGTATAAATGAGCAAATATGACAGAGCTTTGTAAAAAAAACAAAACAAAAAAAACTTTCAGGGCCAGCCAGCACTGTGGCATAGTGGGTAGAGCCACCACCTGCGGTATCAACATTCCATATGAGCATTGGTTCTAGTCCCGGCTGCTCCACTTCTGATCCAGCTTTCTGCTGTGGCCTGGGAAAGCAATGGAAGATGGCCCGATCCTTGGGCCCCTGCACCCATGTGGGGAGACCTGGAAGAGGCTCCAGGCTCCTGGCTTCAGATTGGCATATCCCTACCCATTGCGGCCATTTGGGGAGTGAACCAACGGATGGAAGCACTCACTCGTGCACGCTCTCTCTCTAACTCTGCCTTTCAAATAACTAAATCTTTAAAAAAAAATAAAAAAGAAAAATATAAAACTTTCACTGGGCCGGCACCGCAGCTCAACAGGCTAATCCTCCGCCTAGCGGCGCTGGCACACCGGGTTCTAGTCCCAGTCGAGGCGCCAGATTCTGTCCTGGTTGCCCCTCTTCCAGGCCAGCTCTCTGCTATGGCCCGGGAGTGCAGTGGAGGATGGCCCAGGTGCTTGGGCCCTGCACCCCATGGGAGACCAGGAAAAGTACCTGGCTCCTGCCATCAGATCAGCGTGGTGTGCCGGCTGCAGCGCGACCATTGGAGGGTGAACCAACGGCAAAGGAAGACCTTTCTCTCTCTCTCTCTCTCTCTCTTTCTGTCCACTCTGCCTGTCAAAAACAAACAAACTTTCACTAAGCCAATAAAATATAACTGGGTATCCCTGTTGACCTTGATGCTCATTCCAAAGAGAGGACATTATATTGAAAAGAACACTAGAAGACAAGACTTGGGTTTTGATCTTGGTACTATGATTTGCAAATCTTTTATTAGAACTTGTATGAAGTATACATTTCCATTTTTTTAAAACTTTTATTTAATGAATATAAATTTCCAAAATATGGCTTCCCCCCATAACGTCCCTCCAACTCGCAACCCTCCCCTCTCCCACTCCCTCTCCCCTTCCATTCACATCAAGATTCATTTTCGTTTCTCTTTATATACAGAAGATCAGTTTAGCATACATTAAGTCAAGATTTCAACAGTTTGCTCCCACACAGAAACATAAAGTGAAAAATACTGTTCGAGTACTAGTTATAGCATTAAATCTCAATGTACAGCACACTAAGGACAAAGATCCTACATGAGGAGTAAGTGCACAGTGACTCCTGTTGTTGACTTAACAAATTGACACTCTTTATCCAGCAACCTTATCCATGCAAAAAACCTAAACCATTGCAAAAAGACTAAGAATCACTGTGCCTACATTTTGTGCATTTTTGTAAATATCATAGAGCAAAGATAAAGATTATCTATGTTAATGGTAAAGAAATTATCAATGTTAACATTTGTTAGAACTGCACAATTTTAAACATGGAAATACATCCCCAGAAGTAACTAAAATGTTTGTTATTAATGGGTGCCTTTGACTGCATCAAACATGCAATGCCCTCCACTCCAGTCATCAAATCCCATTCAAAGAATACTTTCAAATGCACCCTCTCACCTGCCACACTAAAATACTTATCAAGAAAAGAACATATTCCATATCTTATGAATGACTTGATTGTCTCATTAAAGTAATGTTTGCCAGTATTTAATTGCTTCCCTCCCTGATTTTAATTTCCTCGCCTGTCAGCATTGATCAGAGGCACTGAAATCTTCTGACATCCTGGCTGATTGTGTTGGGATTAATCAGATTTTTAAA